TGCATGGCCCCGTGCTCTGGGCGGATGGGCCCTTTTATAATTGTTGCCTACGCCAGTCTCCAGGGGAGAGCTATGGCCAATAAATGGCTGGCCTGCCGTCAAAAGGAAACGATTTGGCCTGCTAGGAGGACGTATTTACATCTCTGAGTGCCGGCTGGACGGCAGCAGGGCGGCCAACTCAAAACAGACGTCCAGGCGATTCTTTTTTGGATCCCACCCTGGAGTGAATCATTACTATTCTTGGATAAGAATGCAGCTTACCTCGAAACCTCCTCCCTCTGTATGAGAGAGAGGGGGAAGCTGGGGATGCTGGGGCCCTTGCCAAGGCCAGCACCAGGCCCAGCACATGAGGTGGCTGGTCCCCAGGGTGGTGTCATAAAAAAGGAACCAGGTCCAGGGTTGATTTCTATCTGAGTGATTTCAGGTGAACTCCTGAACCCATCTGAGCCTCAGTTTCCCCAGCAACCAAATGGGTATAATTAATTTACTCAACTAAGGTCAACTGAGCCCCTATTGCGTGCCAAGCACTGTTCAGTGATAAGACATAGACCCTGCCATCTTGGGACTGACATTCTAGTATGACAGACAGACATTGAATAGATAGCACATATAAAATTGTAATATGAAAGCAATAAGTGATGAGAAATAGGGCCATGGCAGGGGAAGGAGAGTGACCAGGGATACATTTGACAGAGGGTGGCCAGGAATGGCTGCCCTGGGGAATTGGCCTTTGAACAGAGACCTGAAGGAAAGGGGCGAGGCATCTTTGGAGCAAGTGGCCGGGGGAAGCAGCGAGGTCCAAGTCCTCGAGGCAGGACTGCATTCAACCTGTTCAGGGAATGTCGGAAGGAGGAGGCAGTGGAGAAAGGCTGCACGACCCCTTGCTCTGGGCGGATGGGCCCTTTTATAGTTGGCTTGCTTGGGGCAGCTGACCAGCTAGGGTGGCTGAAGGAGGAGGAAGTGACCGTGCAGTCTGGGGGATGAGGGTGGGGCTTGGGTGCCCACACCCCCAGCCTGCCCAGGACACTTCCCCTTTACACCAGCTGATCCATGTGATTACTAATTGGCACCCACTCACTCTTAAAAGTGTCTGAGTCTGAATGGCAAGGTCAGGAGGGCCTTGTTGGCCAGGGAGTGGGGCCCTGGGGAGGATGTGGAGCAGAGTGGGGAGGTGGCCTGACTTAGGTATTGACAGATTCCCTCCGACTCTTCGGGGAGTGGAGGCGGTGGGTGGGAGGGTGGCAGGAGTGGAGGGAGGAGGACCAATGAGGAGGCTGCTGGAAATCATCCTGGGGGTGTCGGGCCTGGACAGGGGCGGAGACAGTGTGGTGGGAGAGCTGTGTGAACACTACGGGGAGCCTGCACAGCCTCCTCTTGGGGTGCTTAGGAGGCATAGGTGAGTGGCAGTGCACCATGGCGTTCCCTCAGCAAGGCACTCTGCAGTTTACTGAGCACGCCGTCACCTCTGGGTAGGGATTGGCTGGGGTCCTGATTGGCTGCTTTGTGGCTGGGAAGACCCTGGAATTCAGACATGGAAGGGACTGTGGAGGGCTCTGCCTGACATTCAGCCTCCATGGCTGCCCAAGATGTCTTTGGAAAGAATGTTGGTTGCCCTGGCCCTGAGCCTGTGTCAGGCTGTGTTGTGACAAAGCCTGATTGATGAGATACATTGGTTTCAGTCCTCGTACGTTCACATGGCCCATTGTAAAGCTTTTCAAGAATTTAAAATAACTTTTGTAAAGGTGATATGTGCACATTAAAAACATTGAAATAGTGAAAAAAATACATTGCAACGTGCATCTCCCTCCCCCGCACAGGCAGCAACTGCCGCCAGCTTTTTGTGTGTCCTGCCAAAAATAATGTGTGCATATTTAAGCACAAGTGCGACTCTGTCTCCCTCCCTCTTTACACAGCAGGGAGCGTGTCACATGCACGGTTCTTCACCTTGCTTCTCTTCCTGTATTTTATCTCCAGGACATAGCTCCTTAGTAGGACACTGAGAACTTTCCCATTGTTTCACAAGCTGCATTGTATTCCAGCGTGTGCCTGCTCCTCTTGATGGACATTTGAGTCATTTCCAATCTTTCACTCTACAGACAGCACTGCTTGGGGTAGACACTATGTCTCTGGCCACCCATGCAGGTGTAATTATAGGACATCATCTTAGGAATGGAATTGCCTGGTCAAAGCCAATGTCCCATGAGAGCCTGCAAAGGGACTACCACGAGCAATGGAGAAGCAGGCAGAGGACTCATTTTCTTTGTTGTGGACTCCATAGCTGGCCAGCTGTCCCAAGCAAGCCAGGGTGGCAGCCTCCCATCAGTACTGGGCGCCACTGATTTGGCCAGCATGGTGGTGGGAGAAGAGCAGACACTGTTGGATGAGCGGGCTGCTGGCTGGGTATGGTCAGAATCAGGGCTCTGGGGCATTAAGCTGCTCAGCCAGCTTGCCCTGAAGAACCAAAGGAAAGGCTGTCTTGTAACTGGGCATCTCATCTGCATATAAACCCCTTGTCCTTGCGATGTTCAGCATCTGGTGGGCAAGATGGACATTTCCCCAGTGTGAGACAGGTCAGCAGAAGACAGACAGGCTCTACAGTGAGGATAGGCACCTGCTAGGCCTGGGAGAGAGTGGAAAGGTGCTCTGCCTCCTCTCCTGGTGCTGCCCATTCACAAGGAAGTCTTGGGCCTCTGCCCAGCCCGCCGTGGCTTTCATTGAAGGTGCTGAGCCCTGCAGGCTGAATGAGGAAAGGCTTTTTGTTTTAAAGCCATGGCAGCCGCCAGATCCACATGCTTGGCAGGGCCCCAGCTGGGATGCGGTTGGCTGCCAGCCTGCCCTATAGAGATGCCCCCAGCCCCAAGGTGCCAGGTGATCCCAGCATGTAGCGGAGGACTGAAGAGATTGTTTTTAAAATTTAGGCTCTGTTTTCTTTTAAAATCAGACCAACAGTGTAATGGAGTCAGACAGGCATGGGCTTGGGGTGGCAGCTCTGTGTCGCCTGCTGGCACTGTGACCATGGGCAAGTGGACCCTCCAAGCCTCGGTTTTCCCCATCTGTGAAATAGGGTGAATGGCCTCTACTCCTTGGATCAGATTAGATAAACTGAAAAGGTCTTGGAAAGCAGACAGTTGCTGGTGGCTTTTATTTGCTTGTCAGCATTAGCATCACTGGTGCCAGGGGGAGCCCACGGATGTCACTGTGACCAGCAAGAAAGGGGCAAAGAAAAGCTGTCCCGTCTTATGGCTGTAAGTGGGAGTATTTTGCAGATTGGCGTACAGTGACACGTGAACTTGCCATCCTCCCAGTTGAGTCCTTTCATTCACTCATTCACTCAGCAGGTCTTTATTGAGCCCCTCCAATGGGCCAGATGCTGTTCTAGGTGCTGGGAACACAGCAGTAAACTAAAGAAAGGCCTTGCTTGAATGCCAGTTGAGAAGGGAATCCTGGATTTATTCAAAGTGCTTATGTTGAAGCTTCTTTAGGGAAAAAAAAAAAAAAAAAAAAAAAACATGATAAAGGGTCTAGCCCAGTGTGTGTTCTAAGAACCAGAGCCCTGACTGTGGGAGTAATCCCACAGATTGGCTGAGAGCTTGCGATGTTCTGGAATGCTTTCCCAACAGCATCCTGGTCAGGAGGTGTTATTCCCATTTTCCAAAAGGGGAAACTGAGGCACAGAGCCATACTTCACTCCCTGCCTTTCCTGCATGGGAGTGTGACCTTCAGACAGGGAGCTGACTCCCATTAGAAGGAAACTTAGCTTTCTCCAGGGATTCGCAAACACCCTGGAGCATGGGGACCTTGTTTCTTGTGTAGCAGTCTGTGGTGGACGGGTAACCTGGGAGGCCCCTTGGGCAGGGCCGCTGTCCCTGTGCTTAGCATGGCTGTCCTCGATCACTGTTGCAGCAGTCAGAGCTCTGGGACTATGGGTGCCACTTCTGGGCATCAAGTTTCATGGCCTGGGCTGTCAGTACCCTGCACCGCCCTGGCCTGCTTTCAGATGATATCGTCCACAAGAATGTCTGTGAGTAGGTGCTTGTGTGCCTGTTTAGCAGGACAGCAGGAATCAGCACAGGTCAGTGGGAAGCTTAGGTCTGGACTCCGAGGACCCACGCTCTGCTGTGTCATCCTGGGCAGGGTTGGTGGCTGTCCCGTGCCAATTATTTTTAAAACTGTTAACCTGCTTCACTCTCAGACCCTCAACACCCTGGCAGGGCAGGGGAGGAAACCAGCACTGGTCAGGTGCCAGCTGTGTGCCTGAAGCTTCCCTGGGCATCTGAGCACCACAGTCACATCTGCATATGTCATCAAGTGCTAGCTGCATCCCAGACCCTGAAGTTAGGACCTTGTGTGGCTTACATTTTAGTGAGAGATCCAGGTCACACAGGGATGAATAAAATAAAAGGGACAATGTTGGGAGAAGGCAGTTACCCCCATTTTGCAGATGAGGAGCGAGAGGTCTGGGAAAGTTGGCTAACTTGCCCACAGTCAGTGGCCGAACGAACAGTAGAGGTGAGAATTGAATCTAGTGTTTGGCCCACGGTTGGCACTGAAGAAGGTTCTGCTGAAGTCCCAGTGGAAAATCAGTGCCCATTTCACAGATGAGGAGACTCAGGCTCAGGGGTTCCTTAACTTAAACCTGGGTTTGCCTGAGTCCGGAGTCTGAGTCCATCCTTTTCTTGCCTCTCCAACAACTCCGTCTCAAGACAAAGGGGATTCCTGGGTTTGGAAAGGTGAGGTGACTTGTGTAAATGCAGCACCTCTGGTGGGGTTTGACCCCCAGCCTGTTAAGGTCCTGGCCTTGGCTCTCCCTGCCCCAGGGCCAGGCCCCTCGATGACTCCTGGCTCTGTGTTTGCTTCAAGGCGCAACGTGCTCAGCTTGTCCCCTGGAATCGACCACCCAGGCTCTCTGAAATGGGACCTCGCGCTCTGCCTTCTTCTTGTCTGGCTAGTCTGTTTCTTCTGCATCTGGAAGGGCGTCAGATCCACTGGGAAGGTAAGTTGGACTTCTGTCCCTCCCCTGCCTCCTGGAGAGCTGCTTCATGCTGGCCCTCTCCCCTTCTTCCTGCCCAGAATAAGCCACGCCCCAGGAGGGAGGTGGCCAGTGGTGGTGTGCTAGTAAGCCCGCCCTCTGGGAAAAAGTAAAAGCTAGGTTTGTAGCTTTGGTATGGGTGTCAGTGCTCCCACTGTGTCTGCTTGATTCAAGCTGTTGACGGTTTAATGACCAGCTCACAGAATTCCTGAACACTGAAGAGTCAGGCTCTCCGGAGCCTGCGTGAGCCAGTCCCACTCACCAGCTTTCTCACCTCAAGCTACTGACACTCAGTACAGATGGTAGCAGGTAACTAGCACTGGCCTTCTAATAAATAGGTTAGCTGGTAACAGGAGGTTAGCCAGCAACCGTGGTAAGAGCCATTAGCTCTTACCCTCGCTTTGCAGAGGGGGCTGCAACCAGCCCCATCAGCATTGCAGGGAGCTTCGTGGGCTTGCCCCAGACCTGCAAACCCAAAGGCTGCGTTGTAATGTTATCCCCAGATAATCCAAAGGCACTTTATGGATTGAGATGCACTGGCTTAGATTTTAGCTCTAAATCAGATTAACTGAGTTGTCTTATAACTAACATTTCAACCGGCACCTCCAGTGTTAGTTGTTCACGAAAGTGTTAGCTGATAATTAAATCATCCACTCATGGCCAGGATGTTAGCTATTAACCAAAGTATTATCCATAACTGGAGTGTTTGCTACTGATTAATATGTCACACAATGACTGAGATGTTAGTGATTAACAAATGTAAAATGTTAGCTTGTAATTTTAAGGTTTTAGGTATAACATATATTAGCAATATCTTGTGATTTTAAGGTTTTAGGTATGCTGATAATATTAGTAATAGCTTGTAATTTTAATGTTGTAGGTATACTGACATATTAGTAATAGCTTATAATTTTAAGGTTGTAGGTGTAGCTGATGTATTAGTAATTGCTTATAATTTTAAGGCTTTAGCTATATCAGCAGTAGTGAAAATGTCAGCCAATGTCTGAAACATTACTTGTTACTAACTAGAGCCAAACTGCTCCCTGATAACCTAGACACTGGCTGTTGTCATGGCTGTGCTGATGCCAAAGGCTGATGATCAGAGGTGTGAGCCTGAACCCAGGGCCCTAAGCTATAAAGAACAAAGGCGTTTGCTCATCTGCCTTTAGGCGGTGCTTTGTCGCTGCCTTCCCCAATGACTCACATCCCAGAAGAGGGAACATCTCTTTAATATCAAAAATCCCCCAAAGTCAAAGGAGTGTGTTAAGGTAGCATTCCAGGTATAGCTGTGGGCAGTGACCTTAGCTGCACCAGCCACAGAGTGGAACGGGCGGTTGAAGAATGTGCTCTTCCTGGATGAAGAGCCCCTAAAGAGGCGAAATCGTGGATTTGTACAGATCCAAGCAATTACTGCAGTAACCCACCCGGCAAGGCCTGGGACTCCAGGGTTGCAACACGTAGAATGAGGGTGATCCTGTGCAACCCCCACCAGTACACACAGTGCCCTCTGCCTGTTTCTTGGGGCAGAGCCACCTGCCATCCTGAAGCCCGGGCTAGAAAGGAAGCAGCCCAGACCTTGGACAACTGTCCCTGCACACCAGGGAGCACGGTCCTGCCTGGAACAGGCAGGAGCAAGGAACGTGGGTATTTCCTGCACCTCCTTGGAAAGCACCCTCACTGTGCTACCTGGTTCTGTGTCTTACAAGCACACGATTTTATTCCTTTCTTTAAACAATGGGAAAACTCAGGCTTATGGACATCAAGTGATTTGTCCAAGGTCACTTCCTCTGCTCTGAGCCTGTTTCATCATCTATAAAACAGGTAGTAGTGAGGGCAAAAATGAGGTGTATTAAACACCCACACAATGCTTGGCACAGACAGTTCTGTAAATGCTAATTCCCTTCTTTTTATTTTTTTATTTTTTTTATTTTTGAGGCAGGGTCTGGCTTTGTTGCCCAGGCTGGAATGCAGTGGCATGATCTCAACTCACTGCAGCCTCCACTTTCTGGGCTCAAACCATCCTCCCACCTCAGACTCCTGAGTAGCTGGGACCCCAGGCGCACGCCACCCTGCCCTGCTTAGCTCTGCCTCAGTTTCCCCACACGGAAGTGAGGAAGTGTCTCTGGAGCACTGGTCCTGAGCAGTGCTGCAGACATCATCACTTACTGATGCACTGGTATTTTTTGAGCCTCTGCTGTGTGCCAGGTGCTTTGTAGAAACAGGGCCAGGGGGCATGCAGTGGTTTACAAAACAGAAAATTCCTGTGCTCCAGGAGCTGCTGGCCTGGCAGGAAGAGTCAGGTTGCAACAAAACAAATGTGAAAAATGTATAGGAGTCAAATGGTGATGACAGCTGTGGGAAAAAGTCAAGCAGAGGAGAATGGGGAGTGTTGGGAGCAATTTTAAATAGGGTGGCCAGGCAAGGCTTGCCAAGGTGACTCTAGACAAAGATGTGAAGGAAGTGAAGGGCTGAGCCAGGTGAGTGTGTGGAGGGGAAAATCTCCAGGGACAGGGAACAGCCTATGCAAAGGAAGTGTGCTTGACCCAGACCCTTGGGGAGCACCCAGTCTGATGGAGGAGGCTGATGTCCACCAGGGACAGTGAGCCACTTTTGAGACACAACACAGAACGCAGAATAGTGTCAAAGCCAGAAGAGAGAGTGCCAGGCTGCAGCTGTGGCTGAGCAAAGACATGACCTTCCCGGGGTCCTCCCATCTCACCCCTAGCAACAGCCTCCTTCATGGGGGGGCTCCAGGCCTTCCAGGGGTGGGTGTGATTCCCAGAACAATAGCAGAGCCTGGGCCAGGCCAGAGAAGCCAAGACAAACACAGTCAGGCTTTGTGGACTTCCTCAAGCCCCATGGCTGAGAGGCTGGCTGCTCACTGGCCATGGTTCCAGCCCTGGCCACAGACCAGGTTTGTGGCCCCGGGTAGCAGATGGGGCTCATCCTGGCCAAACCCCTGCTCCCGTGCCTGGTCCAGCAAGGAGGAGTTGAAGGGTAATGAAGGGAGGGCCCCAGCCTGAGAGGCTCAGGATCTGAGTTCAAGTCACTTTGCTTCCCTACATTGCAGTTTCGTTTTTTGTAATTTTCACTATTCTGTGGGTCCAAAACTAGGCTGCCATTAATCCATTCAACAGATAGTGATGATGGTGGCAAGAGCGCAGTAGCCCGTGAGTGCTGGGTAGCATTCTCAGTGCCGCTAGGTAGCTCACTCAATCCTCCTCATGTTTTGGAGTATGTGCTGTTATTTGTCCCATTTTACAGATGGGGAAACTGAGGTCCGGGGGGCTCATTACCTTGCCCAGCATCACACAGCTTGTCAGTGGCTGAGCTGGGATTTGGACCCAAGCAGCCCCACTCCTGACCTGGGTGCCCCACTCTCTTCCACCTCCTGAGGATGCAGTAAGTAGAGAATGTGGTAGGCATGTGTCCCTGCTGTCACAGAGAGGTCTGGGAAGGGGGCAGAGATCCAGACACTCATACAGGAAGTGCAAGGCCTGCAGACACAAAGAGGAGGAGGCCCCGGAGTGAGCACAGACATTGACTGAGGCTGGGCTCTTCATTGTCGGCCTTTGGAGCAGCTCTTCTTGTCTGGCTGGAAACAAAGTAGGGGGTGGTCAGAGCCAGACCTTTTTAGCTCTGGGTCCCCCAAACTGCATGACTTAGGACAAGTCCCTTTCACTTTCTCAGCCTCACCTTCCCCGTATGTGAAATGAGTTAGTGATGGCCCCCCACCAACCACGGAGGCGCTGACGACCCTCCAGGCCTGCCTAGGGTCTCTGGGATCAATGGCAAACCCTGCTGCCCAGACCCTTACCTCCCAAAGGATGCCCAGCTCCCCCTGCTGTTCAGGCACCCTCTTTTCCACTGCCCCCAGGGGAGGGAGAAAAGTTGCCCTCGAGAGCTTCCCGGACAGTTGGGCCACAGAGCTTTTGGATCTAGGGCTCAGAGGAGCCACAGAGGTTCACCAGCAAGAGTGGAAAAATACCATGTCCCATGGCAAGGCCTGCTGGGCCAGCACCAGAGGCCCCTGACAGCAGCTGGCACCAGCCTCTCCCTTGTGGATCCCGGGGGAGCCATGGAAAAGTTGAAAGCATGGCTCTCAGGGGCTTGTCCTCGGAGCAGCAGATTCTACAAAGCAAGGGTGGCTTCCAAACACACGGCTGTAAACCGAAAACCATCTGAGACAGGGGCTCAGTCAGCTTACAGGTTTATTTTGCCAAGGTTGAGGACGTGCCCAGGAAAAAGAGACATGAGCCACAGTAGGATCTGTGATCTGTGGCCTGCACTTTTTCCAAAGGGGGGTTTTGAGAACCTCAATATATAAAGGGGAGGCCCAGCCCAGTGGCCCACACCTGTAATCCCAGCACTTGGGAGGCCGAGGACGGCAGATTGCTTAAGTCCAGGAGTTCAAGACCAACGTGGTCAACATGGCAAAACCCTTTCTCTACTACAAACAAAAATTAGCTGGGCATGGTAGTGCGTACCTGTAGTCCCAGCTACTCGGGAGGCTGGGGTAGGGGGATTCCTTAGACCTGGGAGGTTGAGACTGCTGTGAGCTATGATCGCACCATTGTACTCTAGCATGGGTGACAGAGACCATGTCTTAAAAAAAACCTGTAATGGGGAAACAGCAGGAAGGGACAGAGGAACAGGTAATTATACACGGTATCTCTGCATTTCCATAGGGTAGGAGCACACACAGTGGAGGGAGACACGTACCTGGATGTGTGGGCAGTTGGATAATTTCTTCTCTTTGTGCCCTACCTGTGAAGATGAGCTGGGGGTTTACATTGTCAGATACATGGCATGTATCTCCCAGCTCTCTGCTGCAGAATAGAAGGCAGGCCAGTTTATTTGTTTGTTTGCATGACTCAGTTCCCGCGCTTAACTGGCCTTGCATGTGAGTTTGGGGTCCTGAGAGTTTCTTTTCCCTTCATACCACTGAGGTGGCGTGACCAGGATGAGGGGAAGAATGATGACACACATCCCAAAGGTGTGGGGACCTGACACCACCTGCCCTAGATACATCCCGCCTCCGCCACCACTAACTCTGTGATGGGGTGGTCTCCTTATCTAGAAAATGCAGGTGATGCTGGCGCCTGGCTCTTCTAAACTGTCTGAGGAGTAAATGAGTTAACTCATAAAGCTGTTAGCTGAGTGCCCCACACACAATCCGCACTCCATCAGTGCTTGTTAAATAAACTAACCACGGAAAAACAGTGAAAACAAGGAAAGCTACCTCCACGCCCCTGTCCCCACACAAAGCCCTCTGGCCACAGCCCGGCTGCTTGGCCCAGTGGAGGCCCAGCTGGCTTTGAAGTGGCCGCCCTCTGGGGACCCCTGTGGGGCTGCTGTCAGCAGCTATTGTTCGCCAGCCTGGGTGTGGCCCACAGGGGGCCGCAGAGGTGGGAACTGGTTGGGGCGCCTGGCCGCCTGGCCGCCGGTCCTCAGGAAGGGAGAGGCAGGTTGGTTTTCTTTTTTCACTTCTTTCCCCGCTTCTGTGGCTTCCTGATGTGCCCCCGCCCTCCACGTCTGCCTTCCCATCCTTGGGAAATCATGTGGGCTCCTGGCCTCAAGGAGAAGAGATGCCGGTGGCTGGAGAAACTGAGGGCTGGAGGAACAAAGGATGCCCAGGGACAGAGGCAGGAGTAGGGTTCACCCTCTGTGTTGGAGGGCCAGCCTGACAGTGCTAGCTAGGAGGCTTGTTGAATGCTCATGGCGGGCCAGGGGCTAGTGAGCAAGGTAAGCGCTCCTTATCCTCAGTGGACAGATGGGGAAGCTGAGGCCCAGGTCACCAGCTAGGAATGGTGGAGGCAGCGTGCGAACCCCGGCAGAGACGGCTCCCCAGCTGACCCACAGCCTCTCCACCCCTGGACCTGGAGTGGCAGAGTGGGAGGCAACCTCAGAGCTCTTGCAGTCCCAGCCCCTGACTTCCAGGTGGGGAAACAGAGTCCCCAGGGGACAGCAGCTTCATGGAGGTCTTGTGGCAAGCCAGCGTCTGAGCTTGGCTTCAGACCTGAGGGTCTCCCCACCAGCTGCCCTCTGGTCTTGGGGAGAATCAGTAAACTGCCAGTGGTGGAGTGCTCTTTGCTGCTCTTCTCTGTGTGGGCTGTGGGGCAGGTCCCCACTCTGCTGCTTAAGGCCTTGTGACCCTGGGCAAGTGATGGACTCTCTCTGGGCCTCAGTTTTCTTGCTTGCAAAATGGAGGTAGTAATAAAACTTACTTCCAAGGATGAGGTCAGGAGCCAGTGAGAATAGACATCACAGCATTTGAAATAGTGCTAGGCACACAGTAAGCGCTCAATAAACGCTGCCTAGGGGTTGTTGGGCTGAGGGCAGCTGAGCTAAGCAGACCCTGAAAGCTTCCTTTTTGTCCTTTTCTGAAACTCTTTTTCATTGTTTCTACTCGAAGGGATCATGGCCATGAGAATTTGCTCTGTTGAGGGTCCTGGTGCCAGCTGGGTGAGGGTTTGGGCTCTGTCACTGTCTGTCAGTGTCTGTTATACACTTAGGCCCCAGCAGTGCCCTGGCACTGCACCCCCAACACCATGGGCACATTTGTCCTGTTCTCTGCATCTCAATTTCCTCTCTTATAAAATGGGTGCATTCCTCCCAGATCCCCTGATCTCCAGACGTGGTCAGGGGCTCTGCCAGCCGGTCTGTGTTTCACGGTGGCCACCATGAACTTGCATGTCCAAGTGAAATACTTCATGCCTTTCTGCACAGGTTAGCCCTCCACAGGCTCTGGGTTCAAATCCTGGACTTCACTGATGCCTTAGACAAGTCCTTAAAGCCCACTGAGCCTCAGTTTCTCCACTGTAAACCACCGTCCTGGGGGCCGTGGTGAGGATGAAGTGGGCTTGTGCCTGGGATGTCCCTATTCAGCCAGTGCCCTGCCTAGTACACTAGGATCTAACTGTCCACTCAGCCAGCCAGGCACCTTCATGCTCCTCGCAAGCATCCACCCTATCTGGAAACTCCTTGTGTTGGATAATATGGGAAAGTCCATCCGTGAGAACTGAAGCCACAAACAGCGCTTACAGGACAGGAGGAGAGAAGGTCCTTGGGAGGAGATGGCCATATCATTTCTAGTCCCCACCTCACACGTGATCTTGGCCTGTCTGGGACATGCAGTGTGCCCCAGGGAAGGCCATGGGTCTCCCAGAGGCCCAGCGAAGTGGGGAGCCTTTTCCATTCCCAGTTAAGGGCCCTTGAGAGACCTCATTTTCCTCCCTGAAGGCACCATCCTTCCAGCAAAATCAGTGTCAACAACAGGCCCCCTTTGCAGAGCACATACCGAGTGGCGGTGTGACAAGCATCAT